CCTTTGCAGCATAAGGATGATTCACAAAGAGGAGGAAGGGCTGAGTCTGTCAGATCATTCATTTGTAACAAGTAGCTCAACTTGCCTAACAAAGACTCTTGGGAAGTTGCCTGTCACTGTTGCGAGTCAGTTTAAGTTGTTATTATGAACACTGACTACTTTTTATATATATATTTTTAAATGTCAGAGGAACTCCCATTGGTCTGCCCTCTATTTCTCCAGGGAATTCAGACTTGTAAGTCATGAGTAAGAAGAAGAAAATGGCAAAAGAATAAGAAATGGGGATAACAACATTAAAGGTAGACCTCTAGGCAGTTCATAAAGAATCCCTGATTGTCACCAAATCGCCTTAACACAACTTCTCCAGGAGTCAGAGTTGACAATAATTGTTTTGGCTTGCAGTTTAAAAAAAAAAAAAAAAGTACTTCTTCCAGTCCCTCAGGGTATGTCTACACTACCCTCCTAGTTTGAACTAGGAGGGTAATGTAGGCATACCGCCCTTGCAAATGAAGCCCGGGATTTGAATTTCCCGGGCTTCATTTGCAAGTGCGGTATACCTACATTACCCTCCTAGTTCGAACTAGGAGGGTAATGTAGGTATACCGCACTTGCAAATGAAGCCCGGGATTTGAATTTCCCGGGCTTCATTTGCAAGTGCGGTATACCTACATTACCCTCCTAGTTCGAACTAGGAGGGTAATGTAGGTATACCGCACTTGCAAATGAAGCCCGGGATTTGAATTTCCCGGGCTTCATTTGCAAGTGCGATATGTCTACATTACCCCGCTAGTACGAACTAGCGGGGTAGTGTAGACATACCCTCAGGCTATTAGAAATTAAGACCTGTTACATCAGCTCTGGTACCTATAATGTTAATGGTTCCTCCTTCATCTTCTACTTTCTTTTCTTTAGGTTTATTCTTGATCTATCTAGAATAGCTTGAGAGTCACACTGAAACACTGTTACAACTCTGTTAAGAGGAAGCTTATTTGATCACTCACACACTACCCATTTTGGTTTTTGCCTATCTTAAATGTTCATTTTCAGGATCAGAAAGCTGCATGCCTATCAGAATACAGCACATAGTAAGGATGTGTATAGTACCATGAACAAAGGCATATTGGATCTTCTTTTATCACTTTCTTTAAAAGGTGTGTGGTGTGTGTGTGTGTGTGTGTGTGTGTGCGCGCGTGCGTGCAGAATCTATGGAAAGGTGCTTTGCCATAAGGAAAAAGAACCAACTATTGTCCTACTTCAGACATAGCAGCCAGATTCAAAGAACTTGCTAGATAGAGGGGCCCAAGCTCGCTCGCTCTCTCTCAGCACCAGCCCCCTGCTAATCTCCTAGACTATGTCATTCACTGGAAGGGGCTTGGAGGAAGGTGTAGAATGGGGTAGGGCAGGGAAGGTGTGGAGAAGGAGTGGAGAGGGAAGTGGAGTGTGAGAGGGATAGGAGCAGAGCAGGGGCGAGGAGTCCCGAGTCTTGCACCCATCTAGGGACAGCGCTGCAGGGTGTATCTGTGGTGTGTCTGGCTAGGAGATGGGGCTGGTGCCACTCCATATGCAGCACACAGCTGAGTAGGACACCATAAAATTTCATGGTGCCCTATGTGACTATGTATTTTGCATATTGGTAGGGAGATAAGCTGTGGAGCTTACACAGAGCTCTTCAAGTCTGGGTAACATACTCAGTGTTCAAACTCTCAAAGAGCTCTGTGTAAGCTTGAAAGTTTGTCTTTCACCAGCCCAAGTTGGTCAAATAGAAGATGTGACACCAACCTTGTCTCACAGCTACACCAACACTGCATACAACAGTGGAAGATGTTGAATTTTGTCTCATGACAGGCATTTACAGAGGGCTAAGTGGAAGGGCTATGTATATATTCGTCTGGCTCTGGGAGAAGACATCTGAGGTTGGTTCTGGAAGGAGTTAGAACAATGTTTCCTTCTGCACTCTGCATGTAGAATGTATCGATATATAAATAGGTTTCATTTACTGATTTTCCTTTTTAATATTCATACTTGCACTCTAGTCACCTTTCACGGAAAAAAGTCACATAAGCAATTTGTGTTATACCCAAAATATGAATATACAGGGCTAACCTTTAGAAAGTAAACATCTTCCAACAGTTACTGTAGAATGGGATCAGAGATAATACGGCTGTTGCCTAGATTGGGAAATAGCATGACATTTTAGATGCCTTGGGTGATAACTATTGGTAAATATTGAAAATCTACTGGCAATTGCTCCAGAACTGTTATGTACCATTCTACAATTTCTGTCATCCAGGGTGTGTCTAGACTATACCTCTCTTTTGACAGAGAGATGTAGATTAGGCACACCGAAATTGCTAATGAAGCAGGGATTTAAATATCCCGCACCTCATTAGTATAAACATTGCCGCCGGGTTGTTTCGAAACAGAGGTTTTTTTTGAACCCCCTCCCCCCGGCAGTCTAGACACGAATCTGTTGAAAATAAAGCCTTTTTCGACAGATCCTGTATTCCTCAAAAAGATGAGGTTTACAGGATGCGTCAAAAAAGGCTTTATTTTCAACAGATTCGTGTCTAGACTGCCACTTTTTTTCAAAAAAACTGTTTTAGCATAAACATTGAAGGTTTTTTTTATGAGGTGCGGGATATTTAAATCCCTGCTTCATTAGCAATTTCAATGTGCCTAAACTACATCTCTCTGTCGATAGAGGGATGCAGTCTCAATGTAGCCCCAATGGTTGTGTTCTATAACCCAAACAGTATGCTGAGAGAAAGAAGGTGAGTAACAGGGACTTTTGGGCCAGGTTTCTGGAAGCACAATAATAAATATCCCCAGTCTGTAGACACTAAGAACACCAAAGCTCGAAAGTGTGAGTTAAAAAACACTATTCAGCCTGAACAATCTATGCCCTGTAAACGTAATTCAGATTCCCCAGGAACTAATGCGGCTCTCAGGTACATATACTTTATACTCATTGAGTTGAATGGGAGTAGTAAAAGCTTACTTGAGTGCAGAAATGGCCCCAATGTTACCTGAATGAAATGTGTGTGGCTGAGTATTTAAAAGAATCTTCAGTTTGCTGACATTTGCAAATGATTTTCAGCTAGGTGATCAACTTGCTATTATGGCAAATCAGATACGTACTGTCATCATGAGCTCATTATTTTGAACCTCACCTCCCTGTTTTATATACTGCACTGTGCTATTTTAGGTCTTGCAAACTGACAAGTTTCCTATTCTGCAAGAATCTAAATGAGTACACCTCTAGCAAGTCTGACATTGCTCAGCATATTGTGAAATCAGTTCAAAACTGTTCTCCCAGTTCTAATCCATGACTTATTAGTTGAGCAGTGGGTGGTTTATTCTACACACTCAGCTCTATTGGCTTTTCAGAATAGGGTTACATTCTGTCTTCTCCTGTGTAGATACACTGAAGAAAAGGTGGGGCAGGAAACCTACTCTCCTTCTCACCAGAATTTGTACCAAGGAACTGGTCAATAGCTGTCCATAAGCAGGCTAGCAAGCTGTGGATTGCCATACAGTTCCAGAAGGGCTAACATCTGGCAGCAGATGCTCAGACAAACCCATGAAGCCCTATTTATCAGTGGGTGTGAAAAATACTGTACAGCAAGCTCCTGCACAGAGAGTCTGTCTGCATTAGCCAGGACAGGAAGCAGAGATGCCCTGAAGCAAAGTTATTCTCATATTTGGACCATGGTAAAATTAGAAGTCCTCTGCAGTGATGTAATTTAAGCCATTTCCCCAGTATTTGACATATTCACCAAACATAGAAGTCCATTTATTAAATGGTTATTCCCCCATCTTCATTAAACCCTATCATATATGATATGCCAAGAAGTATATGAAGAATCCTAGATATATTTTTTTCTTGCACTAAGAGCTTGGTAAGTGTGGGAAACCACAACATTTCTCTGAAGAAAGCTTCCATTATTTTGTTGTCTTATGAATTTTCCACTTTGAATATTTGTCCCAGTTAAAATTTTTTAGGAGTGAACAGTATTACTTCTAGGTACCTGCAACTTTTAGGTGGATACCAGCAAAAGGAACAAAGGAGAAATCCATGAAGATAGTAGGAGAAAATGAGAGACAAGCATGGGGAAAAAATGGAAAACATCATTAGTTTAGTTTACTTTAGACTATGTTCTACGTAGAAGCATCAAGCTAAAATTATTCATGACTGCTCCATGCAAGTCTGTCCCCAGTATATCTTTTAATCATCTATGCATCTGTTGCTTTGAGAGAACCTGACTCATGGAGACCAAAGAGTAAAAGAACACACAAAAAACCAGATCTAGAAATATGTAAATATTGGCAATTTAAAAATGTAATCTGGTCATATTACTGTTGCATCAATAATGGATGAAATTTGTATGTATTTGTCATAATCACACTAAAATAAAAGCTATTAATTGAGGCTATGACTACACTGCAGGGTTTTTCCGGGATACCATCGGTATCTAGGAAAAACTCCGCTGCATCCAAGGAATGCATTTGCTCTTCCGCTTTTTTTTTTTGTGTGGAAGATCAAATGTGCTCTTTGGGGGAGCCCTGTATACCTCGTTATGAGGGATAAGAGCTCCACCGAAAGAGGAGGCTTTTCTGCCATTTGTCCCCATCTAGACTGGGCCAAATACAGAAAAGCCTCTTCCGGAAAAGCAATCGGAAAAAGTTACGCAAATTGTGGTGCGCAATTTGTATAGCTTTTTCTGACAAAGGACTGTAGTGTAGACCTAACCTAACAGTAGGGAAGAATCTGAAAATATTGCAGCTTTTATACACACTGGTAGTAATTACTACAGGCTGCCATGAGACAATCACCTAAAATAATGTCAAATGATCTTGCAGCTATTTCCCTGATGTAGAAATATTGTACAGTTGGGGTGTAAGCAACTAAAGGCTGACATGAAGAAAAGGCACAAGTTACTGACATCACTTGGAAAGTTGGAAAGAAAACATAACTTAACAAAACATCACTTTTTAATTACCTGTCCCAGAGGGTAGGTGAAGATTTTGCGAGCCTGCCCTGGAGAATTCTAGGTTGCCATAGGCAAGTTGGCACCCAGGAATTTCGTACCCTGCAGCATGAATAGAGGATAAACCATGGCTAGGTATGGCTCATAAGGCATCTACATGGAAACCTAGCTAGCTAACCTGCTTACAAGCAGGTTATGTCATAATTTGAATATTTAAGTAATATAATGAAATTCAAACTATATTACCTTAAAGCAATTCTAAATCTACACACAAGATGTTGTTTCAACCCACATCTTTGTTGGTTATTTTACGTGAGACCTGTTGTAGGTCACAAAGATTTGTAGGCCCAAACTCATCCTGGGTCTAAATGGGTGCCTCTCCATTGACTTCACTAGAGCAGCACCTGCTCAGTAATTAGATCATTATAGTTGCACACTTTGACATCAAATTACAGATTAACATTTCATATCAAATGAGCCAACTTTTGTGCATTGTGGCAGTAGTATGTTTAATAGTTTTAATTAAAACTGGGCTGAAATTCAAGTTCTGCATTCTATGTACTGTGTGTGTCCAACCACAGAAGAAAAATAGCTGTACCATGTTTGGTGAAAATGGAAAACATAAAAGAGAATAAACCTGAACAAGCAACATAAGCCATGATTAACACTCAGCAGAAGTAGATTCAGAGGCAACAAAAGGACAACAGGTAGGTACATCATCAACAGGAACTCCTATACAACCATTTATCGCTGCCCGACATTAACATCAAGCAGTGCAGTGAAGACAAGCTATTTCCCAGTATTCTAGTCCTTATTCAGGTAAATTCCTATGAAAGTCAATGGGAGTTTTTCCTGAGTAATATCTGAGTAAGAACTATAGACTTTGGCCCTACAAGCTGAGTCCGGATTGTTCTCCTGCATGCCTTAAATATCTGCTAATGCAGCCTAATATTCTTGGCATGGAAACAAAGACTGTGATTTTTGTTCACGTAATTACTATTCATATTTAACAACCAAGAATGTTTATATAGCTTACAATATATCTCATGGCAAATGACAACATGTACAGGATATCCTACTTTCCACTGTTCATAATTGAGTACTTAAGAACTACCCATCAGCTTGTGTTTTATAGGCTTCTCTATACGTAGTGGGATACATATTCAAAACAGCATGTAATTGCTGCACCTGTATAACCCTGCAAAGGGGATATCTAAATAGAACTGGAACAATGATGTAAAGGACAATCTTGCTTATTTCTGCTGTTACAGTAAAGTGAATCTGGCAACAGCTACATCTCAAAAGCAGTGCACTTTGAATACTCTGATGAACAGCGCTATGTAAGTGCACCTAATCACCACAGTAGCATTCTTGTGACAGATCCTGAGGTCCTGAGCCCTTCCTCAGATAATTTCCATTGAGCACCGCAGTAAAATTCTGCTCAGTCAAGTCCGTGAAATCCTTCCATATTGATGTAGAGCTATCTGAGAACAGAATTTGGTCCAATGGGACTTTGCCAAAGTAAAAGGTGAAAGATTTATACGATCTGAAGATAAATAATATAATTAAGAAAAACCCTCTAGATTATCATCTCTCTCTCTCTCTCTCTCTCTCTCAAAGTTTTTCCTGTCAGGGGACAGAATGACATCATCTGTCATCAGCATCAACAGGCGCTCTCAGCAAAGCAAAACCAGACAGAGAGAGGGGGGGGCTAGATGAATATAGCGAGCAGGGGGCGCAGCCCCCTAGTATCCATTAAAGATGTTACTATATACTTTACCCACATTAACTAATGTCTGCTGCTGCTGCTAATATCCATTGTTTGAGTGTGTGGGCAGTAGAGTGATTCCACAGTCTGCCATTTAACTAGGAATTGAAAACTAAAATTTCCCTTCTGAAACTGAAGAATTGTGCAAAGCAAGTCTTAAGCTCTGTATCAAAATGCCAGCTCTGCATCACCATTCAGAGGAATCTGATGAGAGAGTTCTTTAAAAGAACCCTGAATGATCTAGATGATTCATAGATGAGGGAATAATCTTACTGATGTTCTAATGTAACCATTGCACAGGACAATTTTATGTGCAGCTCACAATTAACAATTGATTGAAGAAAGTGCTGTCGTTTTGCTGTCTTGCCATGAGGGCTGGTATGATTCCAATACTCTAAGCATCTTAATGAATAAAAACTGAAATGATGCCTAACCATGCTAGAATGTGAAAAATTAAATACTCTAGTGTAAATTAGAGAAGAGCTTATTAGTTTCTAGATATCTTCATGTTTCAGCTGCTGATTAAACATAGAGAGAAGTTTATCATTTTAAAAGGTCAGCTAATGTTTCTTGTTTTGAGGCAAAAGTTGGTGTGTGATGGCTTAGCCAGCAGTAACACATCTCTGGCAAACTTTCCTATTTCTCTGAGATCTCATGATTAATTAGCCGTAGTCTACACTATGGAGTTATTTTGAATGAACTCCCCTTATTTCAAAATAACAAGCAGAGCATCCACATTACCAAGCCTGTTATTTCAAAATAAGGGGCTGGTTATTTCGAAATAACAACTCCTGCTTTCCACGAGGAATAGTCCTTTTTTTTGAAACAGTTATTTCAAAATAGTGGTAGTGTGGATGCTCCACTGCTGCTATTTTGAAATAACTACTCCCCAGAGTCATTCAAAAGAATTACTCCCCAGTCCTTCCTGGAGCTCTAAGTCGAGATAGCGTGTCCACATGAAGGGAGCCTGCCTCCGACTAATTTTGAGGTTTCCCTATAGTGTGGACATGCTATTTCAAACTAGTTATTTCAGAAGTTATTTCAAAATAATTTCCTAGTGTAGATGTGCCCTTAGGGACTAGATGATGCTTTAGGCATAGCCCAGCACAGGGAGTGATACATAAGGTGCTCTATCCCAGGACTGACTAGCACTGAGGCAGAAATGAACCCCACTTCTCTTGTTCTGAAAGGGAGAGAGGACTGAGGAGCAAGAAGGGAAATCAGATAAATTACAGACACCTTTGAAATGGCGTAGTTTGTATTCTTTTCCTCCCTTCTCTGAACATTCATGGACACCTAGTCTGGCCAGCAAGGAGGTGGAGTCACAAAAATGTCCCCTCTCCACTACTTTGCTGAAAGAAGGAAGTACTCAAGACACATAGGCTGGTTCTGTACCAGACCCAAAATCAGGGTACGCCTGTCTTAGCTGAGCAGAAGTGTATACATGCCCCTTTGCCAGCATATATACCTTGTTTCCATGCTCAGTTGAGTTGGAGATGGGCATAGTACTTAATCGACAGTAAGAGGGTTTATAAAAAGAGCAAGGCTCACTGCCTCTGAGAAGTTTTGTTTTCTCTCAGTTTGGACTCTTATGGATCGTGTGTGTGCAAACATCTGAGGATGTAAAGATAAGGGACAGCTTGGGGGGTCAGTGGATTTTTCTTCATCACTCTATTTTACAGGTTAGACAAAGATGAAAATTAAAAAAGGAAGCAAGGAGAAATGTCTAACTTTCATTGAACATTTGTTTTGAGTGCTTTTTTAGTGAGCTGCCAATCTTATATTTAACTGTTTCTGACTTCGCCTTCTTGCAGTGATTATCCAGACCACTCTTAATTAATTACATATGTGCAATTACTTTATAAACACCAACACTTAGGAAATTTCTTCTGTGCTCACATTCTTATCACGTGGTGACTGGAAAAAAAACCCCTCCATTGGAGTACAAATCAAGTTCCTGAATTTGAAAGAGGTTTCACTGCAGTCTCTATTTTGTATATGCAGATCTACAGGTACATAACTGGACGCTGCATAAGACTGGCCTGCATCACACAATGCACTGTCTCAATGCCTTATTATTTGCAGGAAAATTTGGGACAGACAATGGTGAATACATGCTTCAGACATCTATGAACCTATCTGAGTGCTTTGGGCTTCCCACCCAATAGTGCAGATGTTGGAGAGAGCACTGGAGGATGCACTTCTGCTTTGGGCTTTGCTGGAGAGACTGTTTGTCCCTGCATGTAATGTGACTGGGGGAAGCATGGACTGCAGAGGTTAGGTCATGCAAGAAGGGCCCATTAAGAAAGTGGTCCAAGTAGAGGGGGGGAAAGGAAAGGAGGTGATAGCACTGGTGTTCTCCGGATTTAGACTATTAGCTAATATTGGTGAGCTCCCAACCACACTACTAGCACAATGACAAGGGATTTTTGAGGTACTGTGCCAGCTGGGCCCCATAGATTATGAGATATGATACTCCAGGAAAAGGAGAAAAACACAAATCTATTTACTCAAGGACAGGCAGAATAGGGAGGCACTTTTTATCACCTGAAGCACATTAGACAGTTCCTGGGATTGGTAAGGTAACACAGGGTGATTAAGGCCAAACTTTGCCACCATTGCAGCACCTCTTACTGACATGAAGGAGAGAAGATCATGGAAGGTACGGTGTTATGATTCTTGTAATAAGGCCTTTGTGAAAAGGCATAATCAGTAATATAAAAGGAAATGAAAGTGAGGATCATACAATGATACTTGCCTCTACAACCATACTGGCACTAAATGTCCCACAGAACCAGAGAGACCTGTAAAAATCCCTGCTTCTTTTCTCAGAGTTCAGACAGTACAAATGTCAAGAATGGCATGGCCTCCACAGAACACAGCTGAGAGGCAGGGAATATAAACCCAGAACTGATGGGGAAGGGATTTGGGAGATTCTGGGTATGTCTAGACTGGAGGCTTCTTTTGGAAGAAGCGTTTCCAGAAGAGATCATGTGAAAAAATTTCTTCTGAAAAAGAGCACCCACACTGCCAAAGCGCATTGAAAAAGCGATCTGCTTTTTCGAAAGATAGAGTCCACATTCATTCGACGCTATCTCTCATTTAAGTTGTGATAATTATGGATGGAGTAGCAACCAGGGCACCTGTGTTTTTTCCTGGAGGCCACTTTGGAAAAAAACCCGCTCTTTCCCATCTACATACGCCTTTTTCCGAAAGAGCTCTTTCAGAAAAGGCATTCTTCCTCACAGAAAAATGTTTACCGTTATCGAAAAAACCCCTCTGTTCTTTTGATTTTTTTCTGAAAGAACGTGATTGCAGTGTGAATGTAATTGAAGTTTTTTTTTTTTTTTTAAACAGCCGTTTTTCTGAAAAAACTCTGTAGTGTAGACATAGCCTTAGAGTGGTGGCCTTGACCACCTGGACCTGCATGGTAAGAAGTAGTGCTTTAAAAGGAGAAAGTTGCAGTATGAAAAGTGGGGAAGCCCTGAGAAGGGAGTCAGTGTTTCATCTTCGGCCAGAAACCACCCCAGCTCTATGAGGAGTCCAGAGAACCCAGGAAGCAAGCCACATAGAGAGGGACTGACCTGGCTATTCATCTGTAAGGATTCCAGCAAAGCTGCTGCCAGGCATCCCTGAAGTAAGGTTGTGCCTCACGCTTTGACGGGCTTGGTTTGTGTTGACATAAAATTTTGCTTTTCCCCTACTCAAAAACAAAGTAAGCAGCCCCACAAAGACAAGGCCACTACCAGGGCCAGGAGACTGTGGCCTGTACTCAGCCAACCCTGTAATGGAAACTGGACATGGTGAGGAGCCCCAGCCCAGTTAGGGAGGTACCAAAGAGGTACTCTGCTTATATGGGGCGTTTGAGTTTTGGGATTCAGTTGAACTCAAAACTCAAAGAAGAATTTGACTGCCACAAATCTAACAGCTAAAGTGCACTGGGAAGCTTTACCAAACTTGGTAGGAAGGTTTGCCGAACATGGTGCAAAATGAAAGTGATATAGCATTATTGCCAATATGGGAAGAGATCCTACCCTTATTACTTAAGGGAATAAGTAAATTAATGTCCTGCTACACAATGGAGAAATATTAATTTCTCACTCTCGCTCTTGCTTCCCAGTGTCTCTTGTTTCATGCTTTGCTACTAAGTCCTGCATAATTGCTCAAACACGAGTTAATACAGAGAAATACTCTCTGCTCTGAATGTGACAGATCTCGGCTTACAAAACTCCCCTAAAGGAATTTAATAACATCCTGTCTCAGATAATCAGCATCAATCGTAGTCACTCTAATCCAATTTGCAAGTGCGAGGTTGAGAGATAATGAATGATTATACAATTTATTTATTTGCCTGGCATATAAATATGAAAATATATTTAGCAGCATTTCTAACTTTCATAGGAAATCACGTGCTTTTCTAGTCTGCAATACATATGTTCTCTTCCATCCAAAAGAAATTATAAATTTTGATGGAGGGGGAATAGAAAATGTTATCAGGTCAGTGACCATTTTTTGCCCTTCCAAAAGGACTAGCTGTTAAAACAATATAACCAACACAGTCTACTTAAAAGTAATATTCTTATAGTTATCATATATAGCACTGTACTTTCCTACATGAAAAATGTCATCCTCTATAAATAGCCTGATTAAATGCAGATAAAACCTCCTGATTGCTACAGTGAAATATTATACTGTAGCATGATAATATCATTCATCTTTCTGTGTCTGCTCTTTTTTTTCAAAGCTTTATTGATTCTTAATGTCTCCAGGCCTTTCCACACAGCAGTTTCCTTAGCCTCCTGCTCTGAGGGTGATGGAACTGAGACACATTCTCATGTCAGGTGAGGACTTACTCCATGCATACTACTATATTAACCTTGTTTTCACATTTTCTACAAGACAAACTATCAGCCTCTTACATTCAATATGTTACTGTGAATACAGTCTTCAACCCAGCTGCCAGGAAGCACACGAGATACTTTGAGACCAGCAGTCACTTTGCAAGCAAGTCCAAGATATTTGGTCAGTTATCTATGCACACTACATTAATTCACTGTCCTGCAAGAACCAATAGCTGCTTTTCTGTTTATTGAGAGTGGATGATGACAGATCCTTTTATGACTGAGACAGACTAAGAAGAGCTGCTTTGCAACTAACATATTTAAGTAATAATGTTATGGGAGAGGAAAACACAACGGAAAAGAGAAAGTTGGAGCAAAGCTAAGACTTCTGATAAGTGTCAAAGATGTTCAGCTTACAAGAAGAGATGTGAAGATATTTACAAGCAACAGTGAGGATGATAGTGTTTCTCCTGCCTCCTGAGGGCTGGGCATTTCACAGTAGCTCCTTTCTCAGACTCTCCAAGGCTTAGGTGAATAACTGTGTGAGCAGACATACACAATGTGAATAATTATTGGCCTGATTTTGCCACCCTTGTTTTTACTCTCAAAAGGAAATAGGGCATAGGAATAGGGTAAACTACTACTCACCAGGAGTAAAGATGTTAAAATCAGGCTGTATATTAGGGCAGGGTAAAACTGACTCCTTTTTTGAAGCAGTGCTGAAATGAAGGGGCTGTGAATGGACACATACATGAAGACATCTGCCATCAGGATTAACCCAAGCTCTGACATTATATTTCATATATATTACATAAAATAAGTTAAAGCATAATTTCTGCCATTTTTTGCTTTACTTTAAGTGCTGCTACTTTAAGTGCATTTATTCAATTTAATAGATCTTTTTCAGAATGTTGATACAAACTTGAATCTTAAAATGACTTAAATAGTAGATATGGCAAGTTGTGGACACCTAGGCCCAGATCCACAAAAGTTTCAGTGGAAGTTAGGGAACCAAATACATTTCTGGATCTGGGCCCCTAGTTTTGACTGTTAATGCTTGTTCTATTTTCTGGAGCCTTCTAAAAGCTATGAAACTAGAATACTTGGGGTAAAGATCAAAGGTGTAATGGGAAAGCGACTGTGATGAATCTGCTTGTTTCCTCCTGAGAGGAGGGTTATGACTTATGAGGCAGAGAGGATACCAGGTAAATTGTGAGACATGGTACTTAGTATTTTTCTAGTACTCAATATTGTTCAAAGCATAGCTTCAGCTATCTTCAATTGCATTTGTAAACACTCAGCACCTTCTGCAGATGTGGTCCCAGGTGTCTCATGTTGTGCACCCAGAAAATGAAGAACATTCAGTTTAATGACCTACTATTGAAGATTTTTGATTTAAGGCCCTTGTTAAGTGGTTTTGCCCAGCATCCTAAAAGAACTCTGTGGCAAAGGCAGGGATAGAATCCAGTTCTCCAGCATGTTAGTCAACTGCCTTAACATCCTTTCTCTTCCTGCAGTGTCTTACCTCATTCCCTATACACCTTCCAAGTGTCATTGTGTCTATGCCAATCAGCAAGTATTCCCGGGGAATAAGTTTCCTTCTGCTTGGGGCTCAATTGGAGCATGTCTTCAAGCCCCAGTCAGATAACTGCTTCATTTGAAGTCAACAAGGCCACTTCCAACAAGATTGTATATGAACGGTAGTTACGCATAGTTTTGAGTAGCCAAAGTCAGAATACGCAACAGGGGAATGGAGAAACTGATAGTTCTAGTATATGTTAATAGGGTCAGTCTCCAAGATGTAATAGACTTGGTGTGATTGTGTAGACCAGGCCTTGAGGACCCCATGATAGAGACTTGTGTCCTTGCTCCAGAAAAAGGACAATAGAGAGGTTTTCCATGGAGGCTAGAGTGGCTGCAGAGAAAGTGGCTAATCAGGTCAGGAAGGCCTACAAAAGGGAGCTGAAGAACAGACTTGGAGTCAGTGTCGCTAGAGCTTTCAAGGTATGCAGACTCTGTGGCTTGGCTAAGGAAGCTGTCTCCAGGAGGGAAAGCCCTGGAGGCACCAGTCTCTCTGAGTGGGGGAACAGACCAAGAGGGGACTGATGAACTGAGGTAAAGCCCTGAGCTAGGGGCAAGAAGCTGTTAAAATGTGTACCCCAGATGCGGTTTGTATGATCACACAGGGTGTGACTCCGCAGGGGGGCTGAGTGGCCGAAAGGCTTTTAAAAGAGAGAGCGCAGGCATATGCACATGGCCAGATGGGGTGCTCATGGGAGGTGAGTGCCACCCCATTTTACTTGGGTTGTAGTCAGAGAAATCTGGGGGTGAAAGAGAACATTTGGGCCCTATGTTCTTCAATAAATCCATGGGGATGTACATCCATACCCATGAAGCAAGTCCAGGTAACGATACATATTGATAGCACTCAGAGGGGTCAACCCAAACTTAGTGTACTCTGGATAACTGTGCAAGACTGGTAGTTCTTTTGAGAACTGATGGGATTAGGTTGAGGGGAGAAGTCCCAGAGGGGAAAGAGGGAGAAGCAGAAGACACAGTGACAGGAGATCCCCAGGCTCAGTTGGGTGTGGTAGAGACAATGACCCAGAGGAAGGACCCCGTGTCAGCAGTTACTGATGACCATGCTCCTGTTCCCAGAGGGGCTTGAGATGAGGACCAACATACTCCACCCCAACATAGACCTGCTTTTGAGCCAAACTGACTTAATCACTGAACAACAGAGTGAGATGTCGTTGAGCTAGGCCTATGAACAGCTCGCCCAGGTCAGTGATGAGGTCCCAGACCCATGATTCTTGAGACAAGGGCCACACTATAATTTACAAAGGGAAAATATTTGAGGAGGTGAAAGACCTGCAGATGGGCACATTTGAATGGAACTCCTTATTCCCCATGAATTTTGAAGGGAGATGTTAAAATAGGCCATGTGATATCCTGTGGAGGACAACTCGGGTGGGGAGAAACACTGAAAAGGTGACCCAAAGATTCAATTGGTTGCAATATCAAAATTCAGCTCTAGGCCATGCCACAAGTCAATGAATTGCTGCAGAGTTGGGGGCTGCCTAGGATAGTTCCCTCCAAGGTGTGCTGTGGCAGCCACATGATCTGGTCACTGGGGCCACATGGAGCGGGGCAGCTCTGGGTACCGGACTGCTTGGGTGGCCCAGGGCTGCTGGGGAGAGCTGTGTGTTGGGTGGCGGTGGCCCCGACTGGGGCCAGAGCAGGAGTGGCGTGTCGGGCGACGGTAGCCCCGGCCAGCTCCAAGTCTGGGGGAGGCGCTCTGCCAGCTGTAGTGGGGTAGGCTGTACTCCCGGGGCTGGGAAGGCATCAGCCTGCAGCACTCAGCTCAGGAGTGGGGAAGGGTGTGGCGTGCGGGGCAGCCTGCAGAGTGGGAAAGGTGTGTACAGGGCTCATAGGGAACTTCCCTTCATGAATATTACAGATGTTAAATGAAAGAAATCCCATGTTCAGATTTAGATCACAGACCTGCTTTGCAGCTGATTGTTTTTAATAAACGTACATTTTGACAAACAGCGAAGTTTTAAAATCAGAATCGTATCAACCCTGTTTATTACTCAAGAGGGCTAAAAGCTATCCTTAGATTGTATAGAAAGAATGGATGGAAAATCTTAGAGGGATCACTGCGGCACATATTCACCCTTGACCTAAGCTGAGGGGAAATGGCAGGTACCCCTTGCTCCAGAAAGTAGAAAATAGATGGCCTTCTATAGTCCTTGGGCTTATTCAAGTTTAGAATCCTGCCCTGCAGTTTGCATTGTCCATGGCTATGTTCCAGAGATTGAAGGATAAGGTACTGTGCCAACATAGTCAGTATGTGTCTGCTTATGTTAACAGTACCATCATTTATAGCACAACATGGGTCAACTACATAGAACATGTCATAGGAGTTCTACAAGCGTTCTGTTAGGCTGGGCTAACCCTCTGGCTAGTGGAGTACTATAGTTGTTTCATTGCGTGTGTGTGGGGGGGGCACAAGGAGGCATGTGCCCCAAATGCCATGGGGGGGTGGGGACAAGGAGCCAGCCTGCAGCCAGCTCCAGTATGTGCAGCCAGCTCCAGTACACTAACGGGACTCTGTCACCTGCAGCAGAGGTCTACCCCCTGCACTCACCAGCATTAGTGGGCCAAGCAGAGCAACAGCCCCAGCTCATGCAGTCCTCCAGTGGTGGCACTTGGGGGAGGGGCAGGACTGCCTCAAACTCACCAGCAGGTAGTAAAATGATGTGGCATGAGCTGGGGCCACATTGCTCCACTTGCCCCACTGCTGCTGGTGAGAATGTATTGAGGAAGGAGGGAGGCCAACCCGTGTTGGTAGCCCCTTCTGCCCCCATTCACCAGTTGCTTTTGAACTAGTTAGTAGCAGATCACATGCCCCTCCAATGGCTACAATCCATGAAGGACCACAGCCCTCGAGCCATGTGGTAGTATTTGTCCCTGCAGCTGCACCTCTTTGAAATACTGCATTTAGCCAGTAAAGACCAGAAAAATTTGGACTTCGTTTCATGAGATCAGGTGGTGGTAGTGATGATGGGGGACACTGTCAACCCAAGTAAACTTGGTGACTCAAATTGAGTGGGAGGGTGTGTGACAGGATCTAGAGCCTCACAATGAACTTAGAGCAATACTGTGCTAAGACGACCCCACCCTTCAATAGGTGCAGAGCATAGTTCGAGTGGAGGAACAGTTTAGAAGAACACTGGTAGCCTGAGAAAATGGTGGGGGTAGGAATGAGCTGTATATGGTACCAAGAAGAAAGGTTTATGCTGAGAGCTCTGCTAGGAGTGGCAATAGCTTTGTAAAGATTTGCTCTAGGAGCAGAGACTTGATAGCTTTGTTTGCTGAAAACCCTAAATGAAGATGGTTGAACAAGACACTAAAAATATGTTTCCTTCCCCTTCCCCAACAAAGTCATGTGTCTATACTGGGATAAAAGACCCGTGGCACAACTGCAGCTGGCTTGTGTCAGATGACTTTGGGTTTATGGGCTGGAGCCCAAGCTCTGGGACTTTCACCTTCACAGGGTCACAAAACTTGGGTTCTAACCTGAGCCTGAACATTTACACAATGGCTGTGTCTAAACTGGCCAGTTTTTCCGGAAAATCAGCTGCTTTTCCGGAAAAACTTGCCAGCTGTCTACACTGGCTGGCCGCTTGAATTTCCACAAAAGCACTGACTTCCTACTGTAAGAAATCAGTGCTTTTTGTGGAAATACTATGCTCCTCCCATTTAGGCAAAAGTCCCTTTTGCACAAAACTTTTGCGCAAAAGGGCCAGTGTAGACAGCTGAGATTTTTGTGCAAAAAAGCCCCGATCGCAAAAATGGCGATCGGGGCTTTTTTGCACAAAAGCACGTCTAGATTGGCCACGGACGCTTTTCCGCAAAAAGTGCTTTGCGAAAAAGTATCCGTGCCAATCTAGACGCTCTTTTCCGAAAACGTTTTTAACGGAAAACTTTTCCGTTAAAAGCATTTCTGGAAAATCATGCCAGTCTAGACGTAGCCAATGATTTTTCAGCCCAGATCCGGAGCCTTGTGAGCTCAGGCCAGCTGGCCCAGGCCAGACATACCTAAGCATAAGAGACTAGGGAGAAATAACTAAATCAGTGACCACAGCCTCAACTGAGTCATTCCAGACTGGTCGGAAGGGTCCCAGAGGAAAACATAATTTGGGGTAGGAAAATTTCCTCAAGAATCACTGCTTTCCAGGATAGTCTCCTATCCTGTAATATAATTAGCTCAAGCAAAATGCATATTGTTTGCTTGTACTCAGCATACCAAATGATTCAGAGTGCTCTGTACCAGTGACCTATGCAGTCTTCATTATTTACTAGTCTCCCTATCTTTGTGTTATCCACAGACTTTCTCAGTAATCAGGTTTTTTTCAGTGACTTAGAAGAAAAAATCAATAGCATAGTAGCCTTGTTTTGAATCTTGCTAGAGGTTATCGCTATGGATCAGGACTGAGGCACACTGGTAGAGAGATGTGGAGAGCTTAAGGGCACCTTCTCTAGTGATGTCCAACACTGAACATTTTTCTATGTCTAAATAGGTTCCAGACTGTCCATCTGACCCCCTTAGGTGCACAAGATTTACTAGCAGACATGAAGAGATGTGGAATTTAGCAGCTAGCTGAGTACAACTTGATTACATTTGGAGAAAAAGAAACAGGTGCAGAAAGACATGCAGCTATAAAAAAAAAATGTAGTGAAAACCAGTCAGACTGTATCTGATTATTTCTTGGCAGATTCCATTAATATTTTCTTTTCAGTCTTGTGCCTGTAAAGCTGATCTTTTGTGTAGTGTGAAAAGCATTAGGTAGCTTGCTTGCTTACAGCACAGAAACCTTTATTTTATACTTGCTGGTACTGAGGTAAGGATGTCCAGGCTCTTCGGTAATCATAGGTCATTTCAAAACTATCTCTAGTGAACAAAAACTGTGCTCTTGACAGTTCACTTAAGCACTGAATTCTTAGACTCAATACTAAATAACAGTTCTTAATGGATATCTAGACCCCTACAGTGCCACTTCAGAAATAGGCTATTGTGATAAAGAAATAACAATGTTCATTATATAATACTGAGCTATTTTTTATTACTCATATTTTACTTCAGCAAAATCCCAATTGAATAAGCATTTCAGGATTTAATCTATTTACTGGTTAGAAGTTGTTCAAGTATTATTGTGTGTTTTTAAAATATTCGCAGTAATTTCTTGTGAGTAACATATTAAAACAGCACATTATGCTACTCAATCATATTGTGTGTGATCTACAGCTAATTCACACTGGAATTGCATTTTGGTGTTTGAAACCGTCGCCAAATCTTTCAGGGTTTATACAATGTAATTAGATATGTGAGTAATTTGTAAGGTCTTTGTGTTTGTACAGCACCTAGCACAATTGCATCACTGCCTGAGCTTGGAGACTTATAGGTGCTACTGCAACACAAGAAGTAACTGACAATGACCTTTCCTTTTTTAAACTCTAGTTTTAAAATTGAGCTAATATGTGAGGCTGGAATCATATGCCACCCAAACAAATGGAGATAGTCCCTGTTAACACATCTTATTTCCTGTGGAAGATATTTAATTTGAAAATCAGTTTATTATCCCTTGATTGCATATGTAGTAAGATGAGGGCCTGAAACAAAAGCCCATGTAGCACAGGCCTGGTTTGAGTCCTGAGGGCTAACAATGGACAAAACTTGGCTAATATAAAGCAAAGCTAAGCTTTGAGCAAGAAGCAGGCCCCTGCTCACAGAAGTTGGCACAAACAGGGCTGAGAGTGTAAAACACTAATTGGTAATAGGTCCAGGTGTAGAACAGTAATTGGTATGGACTGCAAAACAGTAATTAGTGCTGGTCATAAGATGAAAGCACATTCCAAACGGATGGTACCACCAGCTCATTTAAAAAAAGACCTTGGTACCCACATTCCCCATAGATACTGACCCAGGTACAGGAAGGGGTCTTAGCTGATGGTGGTACCCACACTCCCCATAGATACCGACCCAGGTACAGGAAAGGGTCTTAGCTGATGGCACGATGGATAAAGATGTTCTAATCAAACCCCGAGGTACAGGGTGATAGGTGGTATCTAAGTAGCATCAGAGGGTGGTAACCTGACACGTCAGGAGTGATGTGTAACTCGTTTGTGCCTATATATAAAGTGGTGTCTTGGGGGGACAGTCTTTGTCCAGCCAAGGGGCAGAGGAACCTCCCACTGATTGAGCTGAGTCTATTGTTATGGGGTACATATATGTAGTGGTTCAATAGTCCTGAACTACTGTACTGTACTTCGCTTAACAATAAACCTGCCGGGCGCCTTTGATCCTTATCTGATTTGTGGTCTTTGGGGGCTTTCTCGGAGTCAGCTGTGTTAACTAATTGTGCAAGTCAACACAGCACACATCATTGAGCACACACACACTGGTTTTCATCACTGATGGAGCAGGAGACCTCTCAGGACACTATTCTAGTAAATCCTGACCTACTACATCAGTGACCTTACTACAGCATAGACCGTAGAATGATTGGTAATAAGACACTTCACCTCTCCCACCTTTGTTTGTCTTATCTATTTAGACTGTAAATTCATCAGGGAAGGAAAGTCTCTCACTATATATTGTGACTTGTGATTATACATACTGCACCAGGCCTGCCTATTGGCGGGGGATAAAGGGTGCAGTTGTCCCATGGCTCTGTGATTCAAATGGGCTCAGGACTCAAATGGGCCCAGTTACTCTGGCAGTAGTGGCGGCTGAAGCCCCTTTAAATCACTACTGAGTGCTGTGTGGTGCTTTCCAGGCAGCTCTTAGGGCTGCCTGGCATGGTGAGGGTACTGTGCCATGCAATCTGAGGGGTTCTGAGGACTGGGGAAGGCACCACGTTCCAGGAGGTGCAGAGGGCTGGCTGTCCCGGGCCCACCCTTTCTGCCTGAGGCCCTGACCCTTCAGGGAAGTAGAGCCGCACTCCCTTTCTGAAGGGGCTGCGAAAACCGTTGGTGCCCCTGCACTGCACAATCTGAGAGGGAGACTCTGGCTACTATTGTTATACAAAGAAATAATTATACAGGAAAAAATTCTAGAAGGGTCACTTTGGTGTGTGGGAGACAGCTGCTTCTGAGTGGTCAAAACAAGATTGGAGAACATCTGAGAGAGGGTGGGTCTAGAGGTGTGGGGGATTTTTTTTTTTTGAGGCATCATGGATGAGCTCGATTCCCCCAGGAGCATGAAGACTGGCTAGTGGGAGGATTCGGAATGATTCTGGATGCTTTCCTAAACTGGATGAAGTGGTTGGTGGTGGATGTGTTCAGTTGAATAAAAAGCCTGTAGGCCAGTTATATTAGTGTCTGAAACACTTACTGTATCTGGATAAAGGCCCATTCTACTCTCTGAAAGCAGTTCTGCAAAAACTTTCACAAAAACCACCAGGTGTAAGCAATTAGTGCACAATTAAATCTATTATGAACTGCCTGAATTATCCTTAAAACAAAACAAAACACAAAAACCCTAAACAAACCAGCTGTTGTGGAGAACATGTCTTATTTAGCAATTTAAAAAAATCTGTGGTCAAGTGGGACTTACTACTACTACTTGGTTAATACCTGTCATGCTGATTTGTAAACTATCTTGAAAAAAAGAACTGTATTTGCAATGGAAAAAAATGTCATTCTTTATCTAGGTATAAATTGTGGTGGTCATGGATGGCAGGCAGTTTACTCTGGGCAATTTGTAACTAAAGATACATTAAGACTGTTTGAATAGCACCTCAGATTACATTCTAGGTGCTATTTTGGGTACAGCAAGCTACCATTAACAAATCTTACATTTTAGAGAGAACCTTTAAACATGAAGGATTTCTGAAATATGCTATTAACTACTCTTCAGCACACATGCCATAAGAGTTTGGATCATTCAAAGGGCTGAACACTGTTCAGAAGAAGCTCAGCTGTTTACATGCTCAGACCCTAAACTCAGGTGTGCTTTTCACAATACTCATCATTGCCCTAACTCTTGCTTCCATGGACGCCAATAGCACTTCACTGAGAGCATATTTAGGCTAACATTGAAAACTACTGGAAATCCCAACCTTAAATTCTGTGTGGCTCCCCCTTCTTGCTTTTTAGTTCTAGGGGGGCTAGAGGCAGTGGATTACCCCTCTTTCTCAGTTTCTCAGACTTTGTTGGTAGAGTGCTATATATGATGGATGAAAATAATTAATCATTTTGGCTTACAGTGCCCTTGTGACTCCTTACATTTATTTAAAAGTGCTCCTATAGAATTGAGAGACCTAACTTTAATTTGCCCTCCAATGTTATGTCTAAAACAGGGGCAGGCAATATCCCAAATCAAAGGTAGGCATGTCTTACCCTTTGTCTAATTGTGCTTTTCTTCTCCTTGAAGCCATGTCTACACTAGGAGATTAGTCCAAATTTACGAAGTTTGACTTCTGGGCACCCGATTTTACAAATTTGAAGTTCTATGTCCTCACTATGGGGAAGAATCGAATGTAGTCTGAGGCAGGCGCCGTTAATGTGGATGTGCCACCTCAGACTTAGAGCCTCAGGAAACACTCTGGGGAGCTGCGGGAGGGCTCCCAGAGGCCAATAAGTTTGAATTAGTGGTACTGGAGCGTCCACACTAACATTATTTTGGACTTAAAAGTTTGGGAATAGCATTATTCCTCATGAAAAGCTGGAGTACAGAGTTCGAATTCCACGGCCCCTTATTCCGGAATAAAGGATTTGGTGGTGTGGATGCATCATTTATAAATTCAGCCTTGGGGAGCTAACTTCAAACTAAGGTCCTAGTGTAAACCAGGGCTGAGTGAGCAATTTGGGGGAAGGTACAAGAAACCCCTTATGTTCTCCACCTTTCCCATTAATCCTTACCCATGCAGCAGCCAGATACAACTAATTCTGGAACTCCCTGAACATAGATACTGCTTCCTCCATATTCATGGTGGTGTGCAAGATAGCCCAATGCAGTCAGACAGAATACAGGGTGAAAGCTTTTGCTCTGCAATATAACGCTGGCCACCATTCTGGCTAACTCTGGGAATAATTCTGCACGTAGGGTCTTTAATTAATTGTACATTGGCCTGTGCCTTAAAGGCATAACTGAAGCAATAGCATGAAATTTTGGACCTTAGTGAGATCAGTGACAAAACTCCCATTTGACTTCAATCAATCAGAATTTCACTATTGACTTATTTTTTTTTAGTCTCTGTGCAACTTTGAATTAAAGCCATAACCACTCCCAGAAGGTTTCCTGGCTTATATTTCTGATAATTGCATAAACTGTCTTCTCAACACTAGAAGGGTCACTTCTTTCAACTCATTCCCAGCTACAAATAGCCTTGTCTTCGCCCCCACTTCTTGGTACACAAACCACCTGTGAACCCAATCCTGGAAGTGCCCAGCATCCTCACCTCTTTCCAGTTGTGATGTGTTGACAACAGTGTTTAAAATTACAGTTATCGCTTCAAGAATAAGGGGGATTTGACAGTCTGCAAGGAGACAGCTTGGAGGAAAGTGGGGATGAGTTGTATCTTTCTGTTTTAAAGTGTAGCCTGCTTTGCCTCTTTCTGCTTTGAAGTTCTTGGTCGATGTTCTGAATTCTAAGAAATAAATTAGTGTTACCTACCATCCTTCCAGATAGAATATTCTATATTTTGA